CCCAGAGTTCAGGCCCCATGACCGGACCCAAAAAATAATTAATTAATTTAAAAAAAAAAAAAGAGTCTCATGGACTTTCTTGCCCACACTGGCTTTGAACTACAATCCTCAGATCTCAGCCTGTTGAGTAGCTAGGATTACAGGCGTGAGCCACTGGTGCTCGGCTTTCACAGAAGCATTTCTTACAGCAGGATACAGTTCCTTCTGTCAAATGGACAGAGCCCCCATACTGATGTTGGTCATGGCAGCCCCTGGATGCAGCTCTCCAGGAGCCGGTCTCACCTGGCTTCCATAACAGGCACTGGAATCTTCCCTGTGTGCGCAAACACCACAATGGCCCTCTCTACATCCTGTGCTGCTTGGCTATGAGGCTGAAGAAAGAACAAAGATTTGAAAGGAAGAAAACCAATGGACAAAGGGCAGGGGTGGAGGGAGTGTGTAGTTGTGGAGGTGGGATGGTAGGGGAACAACAAAAGAGGAGGCAACAGGAGCTGGGAAGGTGGCTCAGTGGTAGAGTGCTTGCCTTGCATGCATGAGCCCCTGGGTTCGATTCCTCAGCACCACATAAGCAAAAAGAAAAAAAGCTGGAAGTGGTGCTGTGGCTCAAGTGGTAAAGCGCTAGCCTTGAGCTGAAGAGCTGAGGGACAGCGCACAGACCAGAGTTCAAGGCTCACAACTGACAAAATAAAAAAAAAGAGAGAATTGCCGCTCCACATACACCAAAGGTGAACCCAAGATTAGGAAGGCCAAAAAGCTTGGATTAGAGGAAGAAAACCACAGGGCAAATCCACATCACCTCAGCAACATCCCCGGCTAAGGACAGATCCTCATAGAGCCCCATGTTCTCCAGGGAAACCTTGAGAAAAAAGAACAGGTTGTGAACACAAAGACACAGACCAGTTACTACTAGGAAGGTTAGACCAGGTGGTCAAACTTGCCTTGAGGTCAGCTAGCCGGGTCTTGGCCAGGGAGATATAGTCCGTGAGGAGGGAGCGGTATTTGCTTGGGACCAGTGGAGGGTAGAGAATGTGCACCTGTGATAGAGAATAGTGCTGAGCAAGGGTCCACGTCCTATCCCAGTGCATCTGGGGGAGGTTTTCAGCACACTGCACAATACAGTGAGGCTAAGGAGAGATAGCTACTAGCCACTAGCTATTGAAGACATAATTTGCAAAACTGAAAGCCGTAGTTGAAGACTGCCACATCAATAGGCAGAAAGTTAAGGAATTACTCGTCATTGTCCTATAAATACCAAGTGTAGGAAGGCCCAATGGGATATGGGGTGTGGAATGCATGGCCTGGCAGCCACACCCTGTGAACACACTAGCAGTTCCACACCACAGGCCTGGCAACTGCCTGGCCAAACAGGACAGAGAACACAGCACAACCACAGAATAGTGGGGTCAACACCAATTTGTTTGTGATACTAGAGAATAAAGGCAATGGCTAAGAAACTGTACTTTGGAGATGGTAACTCATATTTTCAGCACTGAGATGAGTTGATAGGAAACTACCAGCAGGTACCATGTACTAAAGAAAGTGAGGCCCCAAGGGCTCAGACCAGGCTGTCATGTTCTACAGCAACACTGGAATATCAGAACAGGAAAAGTAGAGAATTCCCAAAGAAACCAGAAAAAGAAGGGAGATTCTGGGTAAGGGTCAATACATATGACTCCATGTCTCCTGACTCCTTGGTCACAGGCCCTAACCAGAGATGGAGTGGGAAGGCCACTGGCAACCAGACCCCACATCCATCAGGGTGGAGGTGGGACATGCAGAGGGACTGAAAACAGGGCCACAACCCTGCTGGTGGTACAGGGGTAGGTCATGGCTCTACTGAGGCACCTCCTCATCGTAAAAAATGGCTAGCTCAGCCAAAACACAGTCGGTTACAAAAGGGACAGGAATTTAAAAATGGGAATGGTTGACAGGAAGCCAAATTCCAGCTTCCCCGGTGACAACTGCAGGGCCATTTACCATGCTCAGCTCTGCTAGGAGGTAATACAAGTTCTTAACAAAAACAGGCTGAAGTGGGGTGCTGGTGGCTCATTCCTGTAATTCTAGCTTCTTGAGAGGCTGAGATCTGAGGATCATGGTTCAAAGCCAGCCCAAGTAGTTTTTTGTTGGTCATGGAGCTTGAACTCTGGGTCTGAGCCCTGTCCCTCAGCTCTTCAGCTCAAGGCTAGTGCTCTACCACCTGAGCTGCAGTGCCACTTCCAGTTTTCTGGTAGTTTATTGGAGATGAAGAGTTTCATGGCCTTTCCTGCCTGGGCTGGCTTTGCACCTCGATCCTCAGATCTCAACCTCCTGAGTAGCTAGGATTATAGGCCTGAGCCACCTGCGCCTGGCATGAGACCTTTTTTTTTTTTTGGTCAGCCGTGGGGCTTGAACTCTGGGCCTGGGCACTGTCACTCAGCTCTTCAGCTCAAGGCGAGCACTCTACCATATGAGCCACAGTGCCGCTTCCAGTTTTCTTAATGGTTTATTGGAGATAAGAGTCTAATGGACTTTCCTGCCCAGGCTGGCTTTGAACTACGATCCTCAGATCTCCTCCTCCTGTGTAGCTAGGATTACTAACGTGAGCCACTAATGCCTGGCGAGACGTTTTTGTGTGTGTGCTGATCCTGGGTCTAGAGCTCAGGAGCCTGGACAGTGTCCTTCAGATTTTTTTTTCTTCTCAAGGCTAGCCACTTGAGCCACAGTTCCACTTTGGCTTTTTCTGAGTAGTTTATTATGGAGGTAAGAGTCTCATGTACTTTCCCACCTGGGCCTCAAACTGCGAAACTCAGATCTCAGCCTCCTGAGTAGCTAGGACTACAGGTGTGAGCCCAACATCCATGACTATCAAAAAAAAACAGAAGTAGAGTAGTAGCTCAAATGGTAGAGTGCTAACCTTGGGCAAAAAAGCTCAGGGCTAGTGTCCAAGTCCTGAGTTCAAGCCCCAGTACAGGAACCAAAAAAAAAAAAAAAAAAATCAAAATGAGGTTGGCAGTAGGGCTTACATAGTATAACACCTGCCTAATAAGAAGTATAATAAAGCTTTGAATTCAAATGCAAAAAAAAAAAAGAGGGAAAATGAGGTCTTTGTTGCTCCACTACTTGTTCTTGCTTCAAAGCACATTTCCAGATCCCCTTCTAAAACCTTCCCATCTGCTCGGAAGCTGTGCAACACCTGGCCGCACACCCGTGTGACTTTCACCCTCCTGGGCATCTATACTTGCTCACTTTATGTCTTCCCATGTAAACAAGGAGGCTGTTCCAGCTCAAAGAGATTGTAGGAGACTTGGGGGAGATCCCTTCACTGGGGCAAACAAGAGCAGGAACCTTTGTGAAATGCAAATGCTCACCTGTAGGTAGCGAGGAGCCTCCCAAGGCACAAGATTGGACAGGAACTTGAAGAGGAAGACTAGTGCCTTCTTGCTGCAATGATGGTAGCCACGTGCACTGCCAAAGCAGGCCTGGGGAAAGAAGACACACCTGAGCCACAACACAGACCCACAGTCTCTGAAGTCCCAGGCCTGACGTCACGCCAGCCATTGATGGCCTTACATTGATGGCCTTAGGATAAGGAACGTTAACTAGTTAACTAGGCCAGGGCCATTTAGCTCACACCCATAATCCTAGCTACTCAGGAGCCTGAGAGCTGAGGATCATGGTTCAAAGCAAGCCTGGGCAGGAAAGTCCATGAGACTCTTATCTCCAATAAACTATTCAGAAAACCATAAGTGGCGCAGTGGCTCAAGTGGTAGAGCACTAGCCTTGAGCTGAAGAGCTGAGGGAGCGTTCAGGCCCAGAATTCAAGCCCCATGACCAACCAAAAAAAAAGGACAATTAAATACAGAGCTCAGCATGTCACTGACTAATCACTGACCTGAGGCTCCTTGTCTGTTTGCATTAACACTAAAAAAACATATATAGACTAAGAGCCAGAGCAGTGGGCTGAGGCACTTATTTGAGTCAATATGGGCAATATAAAATAAAAGACCTTCAAATACTGAAAACACATACATCAGCACATATACATCTATCAAAGCACACCAAGAACACAGATCACTGGGCGTATTTTATTTTAATTGTCTAAGAGGGAGTGGGTAAGGAAGGAAAGTGGTGGAGAGGATAACTCTAATCAAGGCACACTGTATGCATATACTGATATGTCTAAATTAACCGTCTTATACAACGAATTGATTCTACTGAAAAATGTAAAGAAAAAAATATATCTCGGGGCTGGGAAGGAGGCTCAGTGGTAGAGCACTTGCCTTGCATGCATGAGGCCCTGGGTTTGATTCCTCAGCATCACATAAGAAAAAAGCCGGAAGTGGCGCTGCTGCTCAAGTGGTAGAACGCTAGCCTTGAGCTGAAGAGCTGAGGGACAGCGCCCAGGCCCAGAGTTCAGGCCCCACAACCAGACCCGAAAAAAAAATATATCTCAATAAGATCAATTAAAAAAGGTAAAAGAGCTGGGCGCTGGTGGCTCACACCTAGAATCCTAGCTACTCAGGAGGCTGAGATCTGAGGATCACGGTTCAAATTCAGCCCGGGCAAGAAAGTCCATGAAACTCTTATCTCCAATAAACCACCAGAAAACCGGAAGTGGCACTGTAGTTCAAGTGGTAGAGTGCTAGCCTTGAGCTGAAGAGCTGAGGGGCAGCGTCCAGGCCCAGAGTTCAGGACCCACAACCGGACCCCCCCCCAAAAAAAAGAAAGCAAAAAATGTTGGCAGGGATGTGAGGAAAAGGGAACCCTATGGCACTGTTGGTGGAAATGTAAACTAATACAGCCACTCTGGTTTGTCTGGGCCAACTTTGGCTGACTCATCCTCAGCAGACATGACACGGGGATCCCAAAGGGTTCCTATACCCAACCCACTGAAACACCACATGTCCCGGTAACCAGCTTCCAAGGTAACTCACCTTGAACCAGTCTGCATAGGGTGGGAACACAGAGGGGCCCTCCAGGGCAGCCTGGCGCACAACCAGGAATGCGGTGACCAGACTGTCCAGGTGGTAGCTCTCAAAGGCAGAGGCCATCAAACGGGCCACCCAATCTGTGAGACCATGACACAGTCAGCAGGCAGGTAAGGGCAGCACACCGACTACATGTGAGTTCTGCAGGTGAGCAAGTATCCAGCTAGAGTGTGCATGTCCAAAAACTAGCTTTGAGGGCTGGGAAGGTGGCTCAGTGGTAGAGTGCTTGCCCAGCATGCATGAAGCCCTGGGTTTGATTCCTCAGCACCACATACACATAAAAAGCAGGAAGTGGTAGAGTGCTAACCTTGAGAAAAAGGAGCTCAAGGACAGTGCCCAGGCCGAGTTCAAGCCCCAGGACTGGCAAAAAAAACACACACAAAAAAACCCGCCTTGAGAAGACTAGGTAACAACCACTGCATGCCAAGCAGAGCTGCCAGAGACTAAAGGGAAGAGCACTGGCTCAGCGACCTCAGTGACCAGCAAGCAACAACCATCAGCAGACAGGAAGGGCTACACAATGAGTTCACCTCCAACTCAGATTCTGCTGACACCAGGAGGCAACTGCACATGTGCATGCTCAGTAGCGCCACTAGCTCCCCATAAAAGTGTACCTTTAACGAGCTGCTGTGCCTCAGGAAAGCAGATGACCAGCGTGGACGTACAGGAGAGCACACGCTGCCAGTGAACCTCCTGAGTCTCCAGGACTTCCTGCAAACAGCGAAGCGACTCCTCTGGACTGAGTATCACAAAGAGCTGAAACAAAAGCACCAGCTCCCTTCAGTGCCAAAGTAAACCACGGCCAGATAGGCAATAATCCCCAATCTCTCTCCTGAGGCCTAGGCCCACCAGAGCCACATGCCATTTCCTGTGGCATCTTCACGCTGACAGGATTGGCACTGGCTGGAGCAATGCTCACCCAGGGCTGGGGACTTTGCCCAGGTGCCAGTTCCGTCTCCTGAACCTGGACTATCGTCCAGGTTGAGGATGGCTGTCTTACTGAAGACCTCACACTTTCCCATGGGGACACTGTCCACAGCAGTCAGTCTGTTGAGGACCCAGCCCCAGTCCCAGCCTCTCTCAGACCTTTCATCCCAACACTCCATAGCATCAAGTCTAAACCCATCATCACTCACCCTGCGGAACAAAGTCGTGAGCAGAGTGTGAGTCTTTGCAAAGCTCCACTCCCTCTGCCTCTGAATGGCATCAGACACTGGGGAAGAAAAAAACAGACAAAAAGGTCAAGTCATGGGGCTGCGAAGGTGGCTCAGTGGGAGAGTGCTTGTCTTGCATGTATGAAGTCCTGGGTTCAATTCCTCAGCACCACATAAGCAGAAAAAGCCAGAAGTGGCACTGTGGCTCAAGTGGTGGTAGAACAATAGCCTTGAGGCTTGAGGTGAAGAGCTGAGGGACAGCGCCCAGGCCTAGAGTTCAGGCCCACTACTGACAAAAAAAAAAAACTTCAAGTCAGCAATTATGAAAAAGCCATCTTTGGCCCAATGGCAGTGGTGGCTCACACCTATAATCCTAGGAGGCTGAGAACTCAAGATTTCCGCTCAAAGCCAGGCCAGTCAGGATTCTTTTTTGGAGGGTTGATCATGGGGCTTGAACTCTGGGCTGGCGACTGTCTTTAAGCTCTTCAGCTCAAGGCGAGTGCTCTACCACTTGAGCCACAGCACAGCACCACTTCCAGTTTTTCTGGTGGTTAATTGGAGATAAGAGTCTCATGGACTTTCCTGCCCGGGCTGGCTTTGAACCATGATCCTCAGATCTCAGACTCCTGAGAGCTAGGATTATAGGCGTGAGCCACAAGCACCTGGTGTGTGATTCTTATTGCCTATAAATTACTAAAACAGAAGTGAAGCTATGGATCAGGTGTAAAAGTACTAACTTGAGCAAAAGAAGCTCAAGGCCTGTACCCAGACTGAGTTCAAGCCCCAGAGACAGCGCGCACACACACAAGCACACCCACACACACCCATGATCTACTGGGCATTGGTGGTCCAGGTCTGTAATTCTAGCTACTTGGAAGGCTGAGCAGAGGAAGAATGCAGTTTGAGACCAACCCAGGCACAAGTTACAGACTCCTTAACCCACAAATCAGTGGTGAATGCCTATAAGGCCTATGATAACAGGAAGCCTATAGTAAGGAGATTGTGGCTCAGGTGTATTAGGCCAGGAAGTAAGACCCTATCCTAGAAATAACCAGTGAAAACCAAGACTGGAAGCATGGCCCAACATTTTCAGGCTAGCTGAGCAAGTGCAAGGCTGAGTTCAAATGTCCACTATTAAAAAAAAAAAGGAGGGTTGGGAAGGTGGCTCAGTGGTAGAGCGCTTGCCTTGTATGCATGAGGCCCTGGGTAAGATTCCTCAGCACCACATAAGAAAAAAGAAAAAAGCCGAAGTGGCGCTGTGGCTCAAGAGGTAGAGCGCTAGCCTTGAGCTGAAGAGCTGAGGGACAGTGCCCAGGTCCCACCATCGGATCCCCCCCCCCAAAAAAAGGAAAATTTTGTTTTAAAGCTTCTACGTAAAATGATTATTTTTGTCTTTTAATTTTCTTTTGTTGTTGTTGTTGGTTGTAGGCCTTGAAATCAGGGCTTGGGCACTATCCCAGAACATTTTTGCTCAAGACTAGCATTCTACCACTTTGAGCCACAGCTCCACCTCCAGTTTTTGAGTAGTTAATTGAAAATAAGAATCTCATGGAGACTTTTCTACCCAGGCTGGTTTCAAAATAAGATCCGCAAATCTCAGCCTCCTGGGTAACTAGGATTACAGATGTTGAACCACCAGTGCCTGGCTAAAAATCTTACTTTAATTTGTATTCTCCCAACTGTTACTGATGCTTACCATTTCTATTTGTTAACTGCAGTCACCAATACTGGTGTAACTTTTTCCCCCAATATTTCTGATCTGAAGCTGGATAATTTTATAGGCAAAACCTGGAGTGTGAAGGGCCAACTGTATTTCCTTTTTTTCTTTCTTTTTTCAGCTGGTCAGGGGGCTTGAATTCAGGGCCTGGACACTGTCCCTCAGCTGTTCAGCTCAAGGTGAGCGCTCTATCACTTGAGCCACAGTGCCAGAAGTGGTGGTTCATTGGAGGTAAGAGTCCCACGGACTCTCCTTCCTGAGCTGGCTTTGAAACTTGATCCTCAGATATCAGCCTCCTGAGTAGCTAGGATTACAGGTGTGATCCACCGGCACTGGGCTACATTTTCTATTCTATCTAATCTCTGTATCTTTGGTTTAATCACCTGCTGGTACTTAGTCACATTCACAATACTATTCAATACACCAATTATGTTTTTTGAAGGTAGTTCTGATGTTTGAATTTAGTGATTCATATGCTTGTTAGGTAGGCACTCAACTGCTTGGGCTCATCTACAGAATCAATTATGGAGGATTGTTTTGGTAGTAAGGCTTGAACTCAGGGCCTGGGCAATGTCCCTGAGCTACTTTTTGCTCAATGCTAGCGCTCTACTACTTTGAGCCACTGTTCCACTTCCAGTTTTGGGTAATTAATTGGAGATAACCACTTCCAGTTTTGGGTAGTTAATTGGAGATGAGAAGTCTCACATGGGGCTGGGAAGGTGGCTCAGTGGTAAGAGTGCTTGCCTTGCATGCATGATGCCCTGAGTTCTATTCCTCAGCACCATGTAAGCAGAAAAAGCTAGAAGTGGTGCTGTTGCTCAAGTGGTAGAGTGCTAGCTAGCCTTGAACTGAAGAGCTGAGGGACAGTGCCCAGGCCCAGAGTTCAGGCCCCAGGACCGACAAAAAAGTCTCACATAAGCTGGGAATGTGGCTTAGTGGTAGACTGATTGCCTAGCATGAATAAGCCGAGTTCAAGTCCTCAGTATCACCTAGAGTGCTAGCCTTGAGCAAAAGAAGCTCAGGGGCAGTGCCCAGCCTGAGTTCAAGCCCCAGGACTGGCAAAAAAAAGTCTCATGGACTTTCCTGCCTGGGCTGGCTTTGAAATGTGAACCTCAGATCTCAACCTCCACAGTAACTAGGATTATAGGCAGGAGCACTTGGCTTTAATTGCATTTTTAATTTTGTTAATTTTTTAGCAGTACTGGAGTTTGAACTAAGAGCTTGGCACTTGCTAGACAGGTGCTCTACTACTGAGCTAAGCCTTCAGGCTTTTTTTCCACTGGTTATTTTACATGTGTGTGTGTACCAGTACCAGGGTTTAAATTCAGGGCCTCAGTCTTACTCAGTTTTTTCACACAATGGCTGAAACTCTACAACTTGAGCCATGCCTCCAGTTCAGCCTTTTGCTGGTTAACTGGAGATGGAGCCCCACAGACTTTTCTGCCCAGGCTGACTTAACCTGTCATCCTCCAAGTCACCAGCACTGGGCTTACATCACTTATTTTTTAGATAGGTTCTCACTCCCTTTCAGTGTACCTGGACCACAATCCACCCATTTCAAATACTTCTCTGAGCTGGGATGACAAGCATGCCACCATGCCCAGTTTCTGTTGAGATAAAGTCTCAAGGACTCTTCTGTTGGGCCTGGCCTTACACCATCATCCTCCCAATCTCAGACTCCTAAGAAGCTAGGATGACAAGGGGTTGAGCCACTGGTATCTGGCCTGTTTTTACTTTTAAACTGTAAACTCCCAATAAGCCAATCCTACTGTTGAAAGGATGCATGGCCTGGAACATGTTTGATGAGCTAAGCCAAGTCCTTTGGAAAGCACCTGACAGACACTAAAGGGAATCTCACATGAGCACCCACTTTGGGGACACACAGAAAAGCTAGCAGCCAAGGTACTGGCAACTGGTGTTAAGCTCCAATAAACTATCTGTGAGGCAGATGACATGTAAAAACTTTTAAGAAGTCGGGCACTGGTGGCTCACGCCTATAATCCTAGCTATTCAGGAGACTGAGATCTGTGGATCATGGTCAAAGCCAGCCCAGGCAGGAAAGTCTGTGAGACTCTTACCTCCAATTAACCAAGAGAAAATGGGAAGTAGAGCTGTGGCTCAAAGTGGTAGAGAGCTAGTCTTGAACACAAAAGCTCAGGGACAGCACCCAGACCCTAAGTTCAAGCCCTACAACTGACAAAAAACAACAACAAAAAACCAGAAACAACTTTCTGTTGGGCATCAGTGACTCACACCTATAATCCTAGCTACTCAGGAGGCTGAGATCTAGGGATCACAGCTCAAAGCCAGCCACAGCAGGAAACTCTGAGACTTTTATCTCCAATAAAACACTCAGAAAACTGAAAATGGAGCTGTGGCTCAAGTGGTAAAGAGCTATCCTTGGGCTGAAGTGCTGAGGGACAGCATTCAGGCCCAGAGTTCAAGCCCCATGACTGACAAAAAAAAAAAAAAAACTTTCTAAGAAGTAATCTAGCCACATAAGAGGCTAAAATCCAAGAAATACAGTTTGAAACCAGCCAAAGCAGACAAATCTGAAACTCTCATCTCCAATTAGCCTACAGAAAGCCAGAACTAGAGGTATGGCTCAAGTAGTGGAGCACCAGCTTTGAGCAAAAATGCTAAGCAAGAATGCACAACTCAGAGTTCAAGTCCCAGTACTGGTATACACACAAGGTCCAGAGCTCAAGTCCCAGTACTATTATACACACAAATATTCTAAGACAAGTAGGAAGGTAAAGGGTCACAGACCAGTCCAGACTACACAGTAAGTCTAAGATCAGTTTGGGATACATACATGTTCAAAAAAAGTTCATCTAGAAAAAGGCTCTATACATTTCCTTGTATTAGTTATTTATATTTTATAACAAGATGAGTGGCAATTCTTTTGTCTTCTCTCTTTTAATTCTGAATTCTCTCTTTTTTTTTAATGGTTGTGGGACTCAAACTCAGAGCTTCCCATATGCCAGGCAAATGCCCTGCCAATAGGTCCTTGTTGGTGGCTCACACCTATAATCCTAGTTATTCAGGAGGCTGAGATCTGAGGATCTAGATTCAAGCCAGCCCTGGTAACAAAGTCCATGAGATTCTTTTTTAGTGTGTTGGTCATGGGGCTTGGGCTTGGGCACTATCCCTGCGTTCTTCAGCTCAAGGTGAACACTCTACAGCTTGAGCAACAGTTCTACTTCCCGTTTTCTAGTGGTTAATTGGAGATAAGAGTCTCACAGACTTTTCTGCCTGGGCTAGTTTTGAACTGTAATCCTCAGATCTCAGCCTCCTCTGTAGCTAGGATTACAGGCATGAGCCACCAGCTTCCATGAGACTCTTAATCTCCAATGAACCACCAGAAAAACCAGAAGTGGCTCAAGTGGTAGAATGCTAGCCTTGGGCTGAAAAGCTGAGGGACAGCACACAAGCCTGGAGTTCAAGCCCCACGACTGACCAAAAAAAAAAAAGCAACCCTCATGATCTTGGTCGATCTTAGTCCATCACCTCCACATAATTCAAGACCTACATCCTGTAGGACAAATCAACAGATCTGCTTAACAGTCTGTGCTGACCTATCAAAGACAACAAGGGAAGCAAGACAACAGGGGAACAGACCGGACAGGGGACTGCAGCTACAGTACTGGGGCTTACCTTTCAGCACAGGGTTATGTGTGAGAATCTGGGTTAAAGTGTGACTGAAGAACCTCTTCAGAGAATCTGTTGAAATCATGCCACAACATGCAAGTCCACTGAACATGTCAAACCTGTAAGGCAGGGGAAGAGTCTCAGGAACACAACCCTGTCCATGCACCAGCAGGGCTCACAGGCACCTCCAAAGTGCTTTGTCCCCCAGGCCTTGTAAGTGTCAGAGGAATGTAAGTATCAGAGATGGCTGAGAGTCCAGAGAAGGCAGGAGACCAAAGATGGATTAGGAAGAGGGGACCTACACTAGGGAGGAGGCAGGGCACATGGAGACATGGAGGGAAAGAAAGCGCGGGCTGAGCTTCCCGTGCTCCAGTGACCCGCGCACCCAGGCCAGGGAGGCTGCGCTGGCTGTGGAACCTAGCTGAGCAGCAGTGGGCCTCCCACACGCACCAGCCCTTTACCACCCTGTAGGCTGAGGTCTCCTCCTGCAGGTCAGCAGCAAGGGCATCCAGCGCAACTGACAAGAAAACATGGGACAATAAACAAATGTCAGTCACAAGCAGAGCCTCTCTCAGACCACTCTACATGCTTTCAATTTCTACAGCACGGGCCTCTAGGTCCAGCAAGGACTCTCAGGACACTGGGGTCTGCAAGCTACAAAATTAATGAAAACACACAGACCTGTGAACACTCACTACATTAAGCTGGTGTCAATGTACACATTTAGAAACTAAACACCAAACCACTAGAAACAGAGAGCCAGAACAAAAAGTAGAGGTAAGTTCATAATAAATATCAGCCACAAACAGGGCCTCCAGAGCCAGCTTTGTAAGAGAAACACAGGAGTAAGCTTTTCCTATGGAAAGGTCAAAGCTACCCGAATTGCTAACAGGCAACTTACAAGTCAGCATTCTCTGAAGTATGGCAGCAGCAGCCTGTTGTAACAGAACACAAATTCCCATCAGCCACATGCTTACTACCACACAGAATCTGTTATGTACAGTAAGAAGTTGGCTTTACAAAGTTCAATTTTAAGCCTAGAAATTATCCCAAGAGGGCTGGGAATGTGGCTCAGTAGAGTTAGGCTAGAGTGCTAGCTTAACATGCATGAGGCCCTGGGTTCGATTCTACAGCACCACATAAGCAGAAAAGAATGGAAGGGGTGCTGTGGCTCAAGTGGTAGTGTGCTAGCCTTGAGCAAAAGAAGCTCAGGGACAGTGCCCAGGCCCTGAGTTCAAGCCCCAGGACTGGCTTTCTGAGCTGTAATATTTGGGCATTTTCAGCAGGCCCTGAGGCTGCAGGCCCAACCCAGGCTACATCTTCCTGCCCTGCATGCCCACTTTTTTGTTGTTGTTGGTCATGAGGCATGAACCCTGGGCCTGGGAGCTGTCCCTCAGCTCTTCAGCTTAAGGCCAGCGCTCTACCACTTGAGCCACAGCACCACTTCCAGTTTTCTGGTGGTTTACTGGAGATAAGAGTCTCACAGACTTTTCCTGCCCGGGCTGGCTTTGAACCATGATCATCCTCAGATCTCAGCCTCCTGAGTAGCTAGGATTATAGGCGTGAGCCACCAGTGTCCGGCTTGCACACCCATTCTTGAGGGCACCTGGTAACAAGACACAGACTGCCTCAATGTATCTTAGCCCTCCCCTCCCCTTCCCAGCAGGCTTCAGGAATGAGTAGCCTGGGGAAGACAGTGCAGCCCACCTCAATCTCCCATCACCAAGGGCTCCCAGAGTCATCACTCCGGGAACAGCACACAAGACCCTTTTCCTCACAAAGCTCAAGCTAATGTGGGGCAGAATGCTCAGCCTAGAACTCCCAAAAGGGAACAAAAATGTGGAATGGTACTTCTCTCGGCTGCAGGCCATTGCCATGGGAGCCCAGCTCGCCACTGTCCACATTCCTTCCCCTCCTACCTGGGGCATCTTTTCAGGTACCACAGCTCTTGAGTCTGAGTTTTCCTGAAATCCTTTCAAAACAAACAGTTGCACAAAATCTGAAAAACCACAAACACATATATATTATAGCCTCCAAATAGCCGTGAATCACACCAATACCCAACTTCAGAGGGGATGTGTATACAAACTGGGGGCTAGTCCAGGGTGGGGCGTCTGACCCCAGGGGAAGCCTGGTGTACATTCTGAGGAATGAACAAGAAAAGGACCAATACTGTTGGAAGAACTATATTTAGAAAACTTGAAAGTAAGAGTGTTTTCTGTCTAATCTCCAATTTAAACTTCACCTATCTGCGGCAGCTTACAGAAGTCAAAAGAACAGTTCATACCACCAGGATATATTCTTTTGAAAACAAAGAAACCCACTAATTACTGGTGTGGAGCACAGGCTCTCACCTAACTTGCTTATTGGAGTCACTCCTCAGAGATGAGTGGCATTCTGAGAGAAGAAAAGGGACTAGGGGCACTCTAAGGAAAATCTACTCCTGCCAACAGCTAACTTAGTACAATTTCTAGCCACTCAGGGTAACATAATCTGGGTCCCAGCCCACATATGAGGGAAGCTTCTTTTCTTCCCAGTGTCACAATGAACCTCCCCCAAAGCCCACACGCTACGAACATACCATAAAGAATGGCTCTGGCCAGATCTGTAGACCTGCAGGAGGCTTCTGTCTGTTCACACAAAAGACACAGGTTCCTGAAGAGCCACTCAGCCATGGCCTGCACACTGGGGTGACTGGAGACACACAAATGCCCAAGTGGACCCCCTTAGTCCCTATATCCAGACAGTTTTCCTTTAACACTCACTTCACTAGGAAGAATGGACCAGTGGGAATAAGCTGGCAGCAAGTCCTCTGACCCAGGAACGTCTGCCTGGCTGTCATTGACATACTCATTTGGAGCAGCTTTCTGCTGTGGTAAAGTTCAGTGATGGTCGGATAGTAATAGAGTAATGGGTTCTTTTCCCCAATTTTTTTCACTTCCTTTTCCATACTGTTTTGTTACCTACTTCACTAGCCTTATTGCTTTCATCTTTTTTTTTTCTAGTAATAGAACCTTGAACTTACTAGGTAAGCACTTTGACATTTGAAACATATGCTCACCCCCCCCCCATTTTTTTTGTTTGGTCCTGGAGCTTTAACTCTGGGCCTGGGTACCTAAGCTCCTAGCACTCTACCACTTGAGCCATAGCACCACTTCTGGCTCTTTCTGTGATTAATTGTAGATAAGAGACTCATGGACTGGCGCTGGTGGCTCACGCCTGTAATCCTAGCTACTCAGGAGGCTGAGATCTGAGGATCACGGTTCAAAGCCAGGTTCAAAGCCAGCCCGGGCAGGAGAGACTGTGAGACTCCTATCTCCAGTAAAACCACCAGAAAACCGGAAGTGGTGCTGTAGCTCAAGTGGTAGAGCGCTCGCCTTGAGCTGAAGAGCTGAGGGACAGCGCCCAGGCCCAGAGTTCAAGCCCCAGGACCAACAAAAAAAAAAAAAGCCAGAAGTGGCGCTGTGGCTCAAGTGGTAGAGTGCTAGCCTTGAGCTGAAGAGCTGAGGGACAGCACCCAGGCCCAGAGTTCAGGCCTATGACTGACCAAAAAAAAAAAAAATCAAGCCAGATGCCTGTGGCTCACACCTGTAATCCCAGCTACTCAGGAGGGTGAGAACTGAGAATTGTGGTTCAGCCCCAGCCCAGGCAGGAAGGGCCATGAGACTCTTATCTCCAATTAACCACCAGAAAACCTGAAGTAGTGCTATGGCTCAATGTGGTAGAGTGCTCACCTTGAGGCAGAAAGCTCAGGGACAGTGCCCAGACTCCATGACTGATTAAAAAAAAAGGGGAGAAAAGTAAAAAGTGGGGCTAGAGGTTGGGCTAAGCAAGCAAGTACAAGGCCCTGAGATAAAAACATCATTCAGTGTTAAAATAACACAGAAACATTAGTGCATACCTTTCCAGCAGCTCTTGCAGGCTCACAACACTCTGCATATGAAGATGCCACACAGCCTCTAGCAACAAAGAGTTCTGCAGAAAACAACAGTGTTACAAATCCTTTGTGTGTTTCCCTTAAAATGTTGTCTAGGCTCTTATCTCAGGCCCATTAAAAATTGAAAGTGGAGGGCTGGGAAGGTAGCTCAGTGGTAGAGCACTTGCCTTGTATGCATGAGGCCCTGGGTTCGATTCCTCAGCACCACAAAAGAAAAAAGAAAAAAGCTGGAAATGGTGCTGTGGCTCAAGTGGTAGAGCTCTAGCCTTGAGCTGAAGAGCTGAAGGACAGTGCCCAGGCACAGAGTTCAGGCCCCACTACCAGACCCAAAAAGAAAAAAAAACAAAACAAAACATAGTAACATAAGAAAGCAGAGCATCATGTTCTGTGATGTTCTCTATTCTAATAAATACTGATATGTGGAAATGGTTCTGTCCCACCCGCATGAGTATCTGATGGACTGTTTTTCTCATACTCTGTAATAAGATGTTTGGCCTAATTTCTAAAAAAATAAATCAACAGAACACTGCTTAAATCAACAGAATACCTTAAATTTACCTGTATTTTCCATAATTCTTGGCAGAAGGAGAGACGAGAGAACATATTATGTGCCAATAACTTCTGAGCAATCTTTAACAAGAAAGAGAGCTTTTTCTGAAAAAAGATTAAAAAAAATTTTTCAAAAACAGGCAAACTACCCAAAACAGTATTTTTTAATCCTACTTTCTCAAACAGCTTAAAAACAAGGCTGGAATCTTAACTCTTTGCTCTGAGCTGAGCAATATCGAATGGCTGGAACTCTTGCAGACTTGCTCCACATTGCAGGCAAATAGCCTGGCTGACAGAATCCCCACAGGAATTCCCAGTCTTGAGGCTTGATCTTGCAAAGCAGAGCCTTAAAGAGAAAACAAAACCAGAGCCACTTTTTTTTTTTTTTTGGGGGGGGTGTTAGTCCTGGGGCTGGAACTCAGGGTCTGAGTACTGTCCCTAAGGTTTTTTTTTTTTGCCGGTCATGGGGCCTGAACTTGGCCTGGGCCCTGTCCCTCAGCTCTTCAGCTCAAGGCTAGTGCTCTACCACTTGAGCCACAGTGCCACTTCCGGCTTTTTCTGCTTATGTGGTACTGAGGAATCGAACCCAGGGCCTCATGCATGTGAGGCAAGCACTCTACAACTGAGCCACCTTCCCAGCCCTGTCCCTAAGGTTTTAAGGCTAGTGCTATACCACTTGAGCCACAGTGCCACTTCTGGTTTTTCTATTTATGTCATACTGAGACATCAAACCCAGGGCTTCATGAATGCTAGAAGCACTCTACCACTAAGCCACATTCCCAGCCCACTCTAAATGACTTTGAATGGTGTGATTCTCAGATCTCAGCCTCTTGAGTAGCTAGGATTACAGTTGTGAACCACACACCCAGAGATATTTTTTAATACAACAAATGCAGTGATAACTCACCTATAAAGGAACTAGAGCAATTTGGGTAGACCTCAGCATTGTCACAATCAGCCAATTTGCCAAGACACGATTTTTCACACAGTGGATCTTCCACCTAAAAACCAAAATTCAGAGAACTCACTTTAATTCAATCTGTGTGAATATAATACATACCCATTGGAGATTCTCAAATGTTCTTTTTTTTTTTTGGGGTCTGGTCGTGGGGCCTGAACTCTGGGCCTGGGTGCTGTCCTTCAGCAGCTCAAGGCTAGCGCTCTACCACTTGAGCCACAGCACCACTTCCGGCTTTTTTCTTTTTGCTTATGTGGTGCTGAGGAATCGAACCCAGGGCCTCATGTATGCAAGGCATGCTCTCTACCACTGAGCCACCTTCCCAGCTCTTCAAATGTTCTTAAAAGAGAAATTTACAATAATTACTTAGAAAATTATTAAACTCACTACTCAATTGTTTTTTATCTCTAAAGGGACAAATACACCCAGCATTTCTTCTCACCTAGTCATCATCTATTGGCTGTGTTAGCCCAATGAGCTCCTGTCTCATGGCTTAGTAGGCTTCTTCCCCTTTACACACCTTAACATGTTCCTTTGTTAGGCAACATTAGGCCCATTTAGTATAGGCCGTAAATATTCAGCCTCCAACCCCCCTTTACCTTGGGATGGTACTTCTCTGAGGCAGCTACCACCATGTAAGGCAACAAGAGCCCCTTAGTGATCTTCAGGTCTGGACAGCTGCTGCCCCTTCTCTACTATTTGGGCAGCAGCCATAAATTCTAACCCACCATGATGAAGCCCCTGGTCCTCACAGCCCTCCCCACAGTCTCTGCCTCCTCGCCCCTTCTAGCCCCTCCTAAACCGCCTAGGTTATATAGATCACCTCAGACAATAGCCGGCAGTTCTTCTTATTTCTCCCTTGTGAAAAGGGGTCTTGCCACTACCCTTCCCAGCAATAAACCTTTCTTTGTTCTCTGTACCTGGATGTCTGCGTGGTTTTATGGCAAAATTTAAAATAGTCTAACAGGCTAACAGAAACACAATAGAGCTTCCCAAAGATCTTATAAAGGCAATTTTTTTTTTGGTCGATTGTGGGGCTTGAACTCTGGACCTGGGTGGGTGCTGTCCCTCAACTCTTCAGCTCAAGGCTAGTGCTCTACCTCTTGAGCTACAGTGCCACTTACAAGGCACAGTCTTAATTGGGATAATAATAACAATAATAACTACCAAGTCTGAAATCTACCTGTAAAGCTAAGACAACTTCCTCTTACCTCTAGCAAAAGGTCATTCAAATTTTGGTGGCGTCTCAGAAGGTTCACAGCTGAATCCTTTAATTTCTCTTCCCTTTCAGGATCATACTTTTGCCTCTTGACCCTTCCTGCTGAGGGAGAAATCCCTTTTTAAAAGTTATGGTAATACTTAAATGAAAACATGGTGACATCTATGCCTTGACTGACTCCAGGGCTGGCAGAACTCCTGCGACATTCGTTTCAAAACCGCACACTAGACCTAAGCCAGAGGCCAGCCACCTGGGCTACTGTGCGAGGCAGGACCAGCAGCCTCCAGCGAGCAGGTCCTGAGACCGCGGAGCCCAGGCTGCCCAAGCTGTCACCACGTGCTACCGAGGGCAGGACGAAGGCTGCAGCGTTAGGGGTCTCCACGGGGGTGGGCTGATGGCCTCGGGTCGAGGTGCACGGACGCCAAATTGAGGCCTGGGTGGCCCTGAACCTCCAGTCCGCAGCGCCTCCCGTCACCCCGAGGAAGGAGCGGAAGGAGAGAGGCGGCAGGAGAGGTGGAGGCAGTGGAGGGTGCAGGGAGTCCGCAGGGAATCCGCGGGGAGGCCAGGTGGCGTGGCGGCGGAGCGGAGGGCCGGCGCGGAGGGCGACGGGGGAGACGCGGGGCCGGGGCCTGGAAGAGAGAGAGGGGGAGACGCGGGGCGGGGACGGCGGGGCGGGGGCCTGGAAGAGATAGAGGGGGAGACGCGGGGCGGGGACGGCGGGGCGGGGGCCTGGAAGAGATAGAGGGGGAGACGCGGGCCGGGGCCTGGAAGAGAGAGAGGGGGTGGGGGATGGCGCGGCCTGGAAGGCAGAGCGCGGGGAGGCTCCGGGGGCACATACCACGCACAGAGGGCGAGAGGGCCGGCCCGCCGTCCATAGCGCCCACTTACCCAGCAGTTGGGCCCAGAGCCTCTTGCGGCCCGGCATCCCCACGACCGCAGTCGCGTGAAAAACCCGCGAAGTGGACGCGGTGAGCGCGGGCGCCTCAGACGCTGCGGGCTCGCGCCGTGAACCAGAGCCGCCTTCTCATTGGCCCCAGCCGGGCGCGCGCCCATTGGCCGGGGGCTGTCCGAACCCACTCGCGCCGCCCTCTCATTGGCCGGCCGGGCGCGCGCCCATTGGCGGGAGGCTGTCTGAACCCACTCGCGCCGCCCTCTCATTGGCCGGCCGGGCGCGCGCCCATTGGCGGGAGGCTGTCTGAACCCACTCGCGCCGCCCTCTCATTGGGCCTGGCTGGGCGCGCGCCCGCAGCAGGGCACTCAAGAAGAATTCGGGGCAGGAACTGTCCCCAATACAAGTGGGGCGGGAAGACTACTGAACAAGTTTCCCAGTGACCAAACTTTTCTACCAGAAGGTGGCACCATCATGCTGGTATTCAACGGACCACATTGTTCATCAAAGAGAAAAAGTAAACAGCCGGGTCTGGGGGCTCATGCCTGTAAGCCTAGCTACTCTGAAGGCTGACCTCTGAGGATCGAGGTTCAAAGCCAGCCCAGGCAGGAAAGTCCATGAGACTCTTATCTCCAATTAACCACCAGAAAACCAGAAGTAGTGCTGTGGCTCAAGTGGTGGAGTGCTGGCCTTGAGTTGAGGAGCTGAGGGACAGCGCCCAGGCCCAGAGTTCAAGCCCCACCACCGACCAAAAAACAAAACAAGAAACTAAAAGAGAGTCACTGGAGCAAAAACACCGCACAAAAACACAGCCAGGCACTGATGGCTCACACCTATTGTTGGGACCCAATCTTAATGTTAGGACCCAGTGAGCCTATGTGACTCCACCCTGGTTAAACATCCATCTTGTTTACAAGTTAAGGAAAAATGTGGGTTGCAAGTCTCTGATAACAGAGCCTAGAGGTCAAATGCACATGTCTAACCCTCCCACACCAAGGAATGCAAACCCCACCTCTCCCCCACCACACACACACCAAACCCGCATGCCAAAACTGACCAAAGTGGTAGGCTAGTTTAAACAACTGCTAGATAATTTGTAACCTCATTGGCCACCTTCGTGTGGGCAGGCTAACTGCATGGCCTGTTCCCTATAAAAAGCCCATGCAGCTGAGTGGGGTTTGCTCTCTGTTGAGGTGGCCCTGACCGGTCAGTCTGTTTCTAGAAGCTCGGCACGAAATATAGCTTTGTCTGACTTTTGCTTTGTTTCAGTCTCATTCCTTTGATCATGAACCCCAATATTGGGGGCCACCCCAATACTATAATCGTAGCTACTCAGGAGGTTTAGATCTGAGGATCATAGTTCAAAGCCAGCCCAGGCAGAAAAGCCTGTGAGATTTTTACTTTTTTTTTTTGTCAGTCATGGGGCTTGAACTCTGGGCCTGAGCTTGTCCTTGAGCTCTTCAGCTCAAGGTTAGCCATCTATCACTTGTGCCAGAGTACCACTTTCTAGACTCCTATTTCCAATTAAATCACAGAAAAGCTGCAGTGATACTCTCTCTCAAAGTGATAAAGTGCTAGCCTTGAGCAAAAAATCTCAGGGACAATGTCTAGGCCTTGAGTTCAAGTCCCACACCAGTGGCTCACTCGTGTAATCCTAGCTACTCAGGAGGCTGAGATCTGAGGATGGAGGTTCAAAGCCAGCCCAGGCAGGAAGTCCATGGGTAAGAGATAGAAGTGCAGAGCAGGGTATGTGATATGTAATGCTTGTGTGGACAGGAAATGTGTACATTTGTGATGAGCATTTGATACTTTTAGAAGGAGAACGAGTGTTTGGGACCAATGCCAGACGGAGACTTTACCTTTTAACACTAAACTGTCAACTCAGCAATACCAATTTGGAAGCACAGTCTCTCACAACTCTTCCTCTAATCTAGCAATGTTCAGTTCCCTGGAACAGGGAAGCCTGTATCAGACCCAAAAACTGTCAGCTGTGATCCTTCCTGTAAGCAGAAAGACAATGATAGGCTCTAGCAGCAACCACTGTGTGACTGACACCCTGGGAAATCATCCCGTTCACTTTTACAAATGAGGGGGTCACATTGTCCAAAAAGAAATATGTTTTTCCCTGACTTAAGTAACTGTAACCCCTCTGTACATCACCTTTATAATAACAATAAAAAAAATTTTAAGTTAAAAATGATGAGCTGGGCACTGGTGGCTCATGATTGTAGTCCTAGTTATTCAGGAGGCTGAGATCTAAGGGTTGTGGTTCAAAACTAGCCCAGGCAGGAAAGTCTGTGAGACTCATATTCCCAGACAACCACCAAAAGCCTGAGGTGGAGCTGTGGCTCAAGTGGTAGAGTGCTAGCTTTCAGCAACCTCCACGTAGCACCCAGGCTCTGAGTTCAAGTCCCAGAACTGGCACCAAAATAAATAATTACAGATGACTTGGAATATCTTCAATGGGCACCAAACACAGCCCCCAAGTATATCTCATCTCTTGATGAGGACACTGTGGGTAGGTCTCTCCTTACATTCCTACTCCTTCAAGAGAGTCTCTTGACAGTCTCAGTTTCTCCTCATGACTTCACTCAGGGACATCATCATGACCACAGGTTTCATTCTGTTATGTGGCTCTTCTCCCATTGTCTAGGTTCAGCTATGCTTATCCTTTACATCAACCACTTGTCCAGAAATCTTTTTCTTTTCTTTTTTCTTTGCCTGTGTCTGGGCCCTATCCCTCAGCTCTTCAGCTCAGCCACAGCGCCACTTCTGGCTTTTTCCGAGTACATGGTGCTGAGGAATCAAACCCAGAGCCTCATGCTTAAGAGGCAAGCACTCTACCACTGAGCCACCTTCCCAGCCCCAGCCATCTCCAGAGCCCGTCCCCCTGAGCTGTCTGACCTAGAGAGGAGGGCGGGACGCTGACACTATCTGGCGTCCCTTAGGATTTGTGGTCTTTATCCTGATCCCAAAATAAACCTAAAGCACAAAACCACAGCCTCTCACCTTTCAGCGTTTCCTCCCGGACCCGGGAGCTTCAGCCCTGCCGGGCTGCAGGCTTTTGACAAAGAGAGCATTCAGGGGCCTCCGTGCCCGGCGAGAGGAAGCCCGCGCTCCCCGCCGCTCCCCGCCGGCCGAGTGCCCGCGTCCCCGGGGAGAAGCTGACCCGTTTGTCTCATCTGAAGTGGACTTGGGCTCAGTCCTTGCTCTTCTCTCTAGGCGACGCCAGTCCCACTGTCTCCGGAGTCCGGTGCCCAACTTGCTTCACCCGTTCCGGCTACGACGCGGTGGCCCCGGACCTCCCCGCGGAACTCGGCACCCGAAAGGCGCCTAGGACGGTCTGGGGTCTGGGACTGTAGCCGCGGGCCGCGGCCGCGCGCGCTCGCCTTCCTCGGCCCTGCCACTCCCGGCTCCCCGCGCCTCG